CTACCAACCTGGACACTTTCCTTTTCCTACTAGGTACCTTTTCCTACTCAGTGCAACTTAATTTACTTAATGTGATTATGATCACCTCTTTAATGTATACCGATCCCATAAAGAAATTCATTATGCACTGAAACTGAACAAATAGGACAAGGGTTTGCTCCCATCATCAACTGATATTTGATAATCCACCTGATAGCCTGACAGCGCCTTCACGGGTGACAAAGGAGCTGGCTGAGCAGGCCACGCCCACCGACTTCCACCTCCAGCGCACCCCAAACCCCTCTGCCTCTGCGTCTGTCTTGCCCAGTGACTGCCTCCATTGGACCCTGGAGTCCTGCATTTTCATTGAAATCGGCAGCACCATGGCCCTCCCTCAGATCCTCATTCAACAGCCCCCCATTAGGCTGAGGCAATCCCAGCTCCAAATCCAAACTCCCCATCTTGCTACACCTGCTGGCTGACTTGTTCTCAGCCCCCAATGCCACTGAAGGTTGCTAAATACAATGATGACACGTCAGTCTGTTCTACGTCAACTTGAATCACACAAGTCTTCAGTTACCATTTAGTACCGTCAGAAAAAAAAACATGTTTCTCACGGTAGCAGCTATAAACTTCTTCCATTTTCTTCAAGATTTATCCTCAGATATTAAAAAAGAAACCAGTGACAAATCTAGAGAAAGTCACCATGATATCTCCATGCTCACAAATCTTGGAAAGGAAAGCTGGGACTCAGATTTAGAGCAGAAGATTTCACAAAGGTCTGAGAAAACAGAGGCTTGAAAGGCTACTATCATAGCTTTTGTTGTTGTTTTGTTTTAAAGATGACTTAAAAGGACTGGAGAGCTCTTTTTTTTCCTTTTTTTTTTTTGGTACCAGGGATTGAACTCATGACCTCACGCTTGCTAGGTAGGTGTGATTGAAAAGCTTATCTTAAAAGTATAAATCTGATCACATAATTGCAACTGCAGTGAGGAAGCCGAAGTGGCTTTTTAATTACCCTGTATAAAGTCTAATACTAAATATTAAAAATCCTAAGTATGTTGTGATATATGACAAAAAGCATCCCTAAAAGCAAGCCAGGGTGCACAGAACAGACTACCTTTGGGTCTTGCTAGCATGAAGAGAGGGAAATTCAGGAAAATGTGGATGACAGGATCCACAGAGAAGCTAACAGGCTCAGGTGAAATTTCCTGCAACAGGTCCCAGAGCAAAGCAGAAAGCCAGTTCCTGACAATTAAAGGTCTGCAGTCCGGTGTGTGACGCTCTGTGAACTCCCCTTCAGTGGGACCCCAACACACCACAGAGGTTAGGGAAACAATGTTTACAGCCAAAAGGAGCCCAAGACCTTGAAGACTCCCTGCAGACCTTTCCAAAGGAGTGACAGCACACACTCCATCAGTGATGCCTGCAGGTCCAATGTTTCGTTAGGGTACCCTGTACCTTCTAAACTGGCATTCGCCATCCGAACACCAGGTACATGCTGCTATGAAGGGTTGGTTTTAAAGTCTAAGAACCTTGGTTCTCATCATTTTCTGTTCCAAACTCTGCTGAGTGTTCTAGCTTGATTTATGGTTCATCTTCCTCACTAACCTGGCTCAAGACCTCAGGGCCATCATTTCATTTCCGTCTACTCATCTGACAAGTCAGCAAATACTCACTGGATATCCTTGTCCCAAAGGAGCTCACCGCCAAGTAAAATACTGAAGCAAGCAATGCAATCCAAACACGCGAGCTACACATAAGGTATCCTTAGAAGGCACGGGAGCACCCACAAAGAAGGCTTGTGTGCCAGGAAAGATTGGAGTGGGCAACTGAGTTGAGTTTAAAAGTTGAGCAAACACTGGGGAGAGGAGAAAGCCACTTCGAGGAAAGGAAGTGCCACGTGTGCACAAGTCTAGAGCTATGAACAAACCCAGTCAGCTGGCAAGTTTGCCCATACTGAGAAGGAAGTGAAGTGCATGGTGGGGATTGAGGCTGTTCTCAGGAAATCTTGGTTCCACTGCCACCTAAATCTGCCCTCTCATCCAAGTCTGAGGCCTGAAAGTTCATCTAAGATCCTGAGACTCAGCCTTCTTGTTCATGCCATTTCTAATTGGCCATCAAATCGGAAGAATTTACCTTAGCCCCGCTGAATCTGTTCACTCTTGTTCCCTCCGCTGAGGCCCTTTGGTTTCAGGTCGCCCCACCTCCTCTGACTTCCTGGAACAGCCTACAGCTGCAGCTGCCAATCCTGGCCCTTCCTGTCCACCTTTCCACTCTGCACTCAGTACTGGAGATCTTCTGGCAGAGACCTCTGCTCTTCGGAAATGATCCTTCATTTCCCCCTTCACCGTCCTCCTCTAGACTTCCAGAAATTTTATTCCTATGGAAGAACCTCCAACCGTCTGCTTTGCCCTGCAGGTGTAGGTCAGTCAGGTGGTCCACTCCGCTCATCGGCTTTATTCCTGCATCCTCCCAGACAGCTGAATCCTAATCCTGACTGAACAGCAGGGCATACAAGCCTGAATTTCACCTCCAGTTAAAACTACTGACTGCAGGAAATACTGGACTTAAAACTAGGTCAGTGAGATTCCCATCCATAAGGATTCTGTGACATGGCCAGGCTTCAGCACTGAGTAGGTGAGCAGTTACCACGTAGAGGGCGAGGCAGAGCATCGCTTTTGCAGGAGAAATTCCAGAGAAGACACTGCGCTGCTGGGGATGCTGAGGAGAAGCTCTGATTCCTCTGCCACCTGGCTCGTCCTGAGGTCCTTGTGAACCCCTCCATTTCCTACCATGGATGAATTTCTCATAATAATCCTCACTGGTATTTAAACTAGTTCAAGTGAAATTTCATTTCTTAGAATTGAATTATCCCTTTGACACTTACATATAAGACTTTCTGTGTCAGTTTATAGTTCCCTGGAATGAAGGACCCATTGCTTGTTTACCTTTGTATTTCTCAGATAATACAACATAATGCCTTACGTGGAGTAGACCAAAACCTGCCTAGTGAACTGAATTTAACAACAGAAGAGGTAAATGATACTGGACTTGAATAATCAGTAGCAATGACAAAGACTAGGAAGCTGAATACAGTGCTGTTAAGAAGAGACGTATAGGGGCAGAGAGGAAATTCAGACAGAGCCACCTCAGCCCAGCCATCAGGCACAGCTTCTATGGGGGCCGACCACACACACAGAGCAAACCCCACCTCGGCTCCAGACAGAGCCTGGCAGAGAGCAGGGGAAGCCAGGCAGTCACAGCACAGCATGTGCAGAGTGGGACACCATAACTCAGTCCCTAAAGATCAGTAACTGATAGCCAGAACCAAGCGACAAGGCGACCACCAATGTGCCCAACAGCTGCAGCCCTCGCCCCTCGTGTGACAGTGCCATCTGAGAACTGAGCCGTGAAGAAGTCAGCCACTCTTATTTCTAAGATAGATTTTCATTTTCCATATGAATTTTAAAAAGAATATTTCCATAAAAGACAATTTTCATGCCTTATGTTAAGAAGACAGAGTAGAACAGTTCTCCATCTACAACACGAGCACTGTCCGATTTTTCTCTGGAAAAGTGCAGGATGCACTCTCTTTACTCCAGCAGCTGTGCTTGAGTCCCACGACTCCCCCCATTCTTTGGCTGCCACCGCCCTCACTCAGACAAGGGCTGGGATGAAGGAAGCGCGGGTTCCTTCAGGGAAGCCCACGCCATGAGGGTTTTATGGCTGTGCCCTTCTGGCTGGAAGGCTTCGAAAGCCGCCCAACCAAGTGCGCACAATGGGACATGGCAGAGAGCAGATAAAGGACAGGGCTGGATTTCCTGGTCTGCTGTGAAAGTCTTCCCTCTCACTGCCACACACAAAGCAGAGGCACAATCAGCAGGGCCAGGTGGCAGGGCCACTATCACCTGTTGATTTGCTGACAAGGACAGTTCAGGGTGCAAGAGGCTGCATTGCTGTTGGCTGTGAGTCGGGTTTAACGATGATGACCTTGGCATCACAGGCTGGGAGCGAAAGAGAAAGAGCAAGGGCTCCCAAGTGGCTCTGAGATCAGATCAATCACTTCCATTGTCACCTAACTGGAAAGTGGCACTGGATGTGTCACATCAGCAGGACACACAGCCTTGATCTGGCCCCCTAAGAGGCATAAAGGACTGAGTGTAAAACACATCTGATGAAAGCAGAGCGCTGTGGCCCTCACCCCCACAAGCACGAGGACACACCCAGAGAGGGTCCCCACCCCTGAGCACACGGGAGACCAACAAGCAAGTCCCTAACTGGATAAACTGGATGGGAAGAGAGGGAAGAGACACTCATATTTTTAGGCCTTTATTTTCATTTCCCGTGAGGCAAAAAATCAGACCTATCTCTAACAAAGGCCTAAAGATACAGCTAAAATGATACTATTTTTCTTCCCAAAAGAGCATGTTTTAAGAAGAAAATACATACAGCATTATCTTCAAAGTGAAGAGACCATCCCTGATGCTCTGAAGACTAGGCCACATATCTCTATAAACTGAGTAACATGGCACTCTTTCCTCCCCACAGCAGGCAAATTTAGTTTTTACAGCCATAGGTGAAACTTCAGCATTCATCAGACTGCCTGGAAGCTCAATATCACAAAATACCACTAATCAAATACTGCTCCACAGTCACACCCAGAGTTCCCCCGAATGTGCCTCATCTAGGACTCAGCCTATTTTAAAACAAGTGTCAGAAAGGAAAGTTCTGGCTGTCTGATAGAATGAATTCTCCACCTGAAGGGGCTTTAAGACAGGACAGGACAGAAGCAGAGCCTCGGAATGTGCCTGTATTTTAGGCCAAAAACAAAAAACGAAACTGAAAAGGTGACTGCTTGGGAATTCAGAGGGCCTATAGCGGCAGCTGGGACAACTTCTGAAGAATCAGGACCAGACTACACAGTGTCACGGCTTTCATAAACCGTATCATGACTGAAACACACAAAGAGGTCACCTGAAGGTCATCTAACCAGAGATTTCCTGCCAGAGATCACCTACCCCAGGGCGAAATTGCAGTCTTCCTTCCAGTCCACGATGTGGCAGATGAAGAGGGTACTGGCATAATCTTTGGGCCGGGTCATGAAGTCCTGGGGACAGTCCTTAAGAGGCACATAAATTCTAGGCACTCGGTGGTCTGAGGGAGAAAATAGGGCGTATTTCCTAAACAGGTCGCTGTTCTTCTCAGCCAAGAGCTTCAGGACGCCAGTTGCTGCTCGGGAATGTTTTTTTTCCAAGATGTAAACCACCTGCAAACACCAGAGATAAAGTCAGTACCACTTACTGTAGAACTCACTGTCGGGCAGAGGAGACAGCAGGCTATTACCTGACTAACTATTTAGGTCTGGGGGGTTTTTGGAAGTCACCATGAAGTGCCTGCTAGTGACTCTCCATGACTAAAACTTCTATATCTACACTGCAACAAGTACCCACTGAGCCTTTATACCCAGTAGAAAATGATGTAATACACAGATGCGATCAAAGTGCTTTTCTATCCAGGACCTGGGTCTTACAACTGCTCCCGGGGTCTGCTCCACATGAACAACAATGTTATTAAACACAAACGAGCACCCTTCTTAAATTGTGACTTCCAGTTCTGTGCTGAGACTTTCCATTTTCTCAACTGTTTCAGAGAATTTTCCATGGTTTATAGAAGTGCCCTGCTGATGGCCACTGCACAATCCTTACCAGATAACCAAACAACTGCCCAACTAGAGGCAGAAATTTTGGGCCTGGTTACTTTCCTAAGCAAGGCTGAAAGGTCCCTGCCATCTGGAGTTTATCTGGGGTCCCCTCCTTTTTGCACCTTCCTCCTGCCACCATTGAGAGCTCTCCTTCATTGCCTTTTCTGGGGCTTCCAGTTGTATTTACTGCGAGGAGCACAATAATCTATCTATGTCGTCCTGCCTGAACTGGAAGTCCCACCTGCTTGATTTAGTTTCTGACAGCACAGAAGTGTCTAAGGCGGCTTGGCATTCCCTGTGATTCACACTACACTAGATGTCATGGAAGTGATGCCTCCCCAGCAGAAGTTCTGCATACAAGTGCTACTTTACTATGTAATTTCAGGCTGGATTCATGTAGAAACATCATCAAAGACAGAAAGGAATTGAGGGAGAAGGCAGGGCAGGCATGGCTGGAGGGCAAAGCAGGGAGAGAGCACAGTTCCGGGAGCAGAGGGGCACTCCACCAGCTGACCACAGTGGTTCAGGAAGGTGGCCCAGGGAACCAAATGTTTGACAAAAGAAGCTAAAGCCTAGGTTTTTATGTGACTGCTCCTTGCTTGTTTGTTTGTTTAAGGTAAGCTCTGAAGTGAAACTCTTAAAAGACAGAATAGGTGAACAAAACAACACTGTGAGCCAGACTCATCCAGCCCCAGGCCTTGCACCCCTGAGCATCTCCCAGGCCTCGCAGGGTACCTGTGCACATGGTTCATCCCCAACAGCCCACTGCAGTGAAGAGCAGTGTAACTACATGGCCAGCGGCACTAACTGTACACTGTCCAAGCTCTAGAGGTTCCTTGTGTCGGCACACAGGGGAGAAGCTCTCTTCAGCAACTGGCCAGAGAGTGGCCACCTGCTTCTGGTCTAGCACACTGACCATGCCTCGGGAACACAAAGCCTCACACTAGAATGTCACTCTGTCCTCTGTCATTCCTGCCACCATGAGCTCTTTGTGCAGGCAGAGCCAGCCAGGCTTGCACCCACACCTGCAGGCGCCCCCATGACCCTGACCATCAAGCAATGGAATGAAGCACAAACATGGGTTTCACTTACATGACACTGAACTGAATACTCTGGAAGAACTAAGACAGCCTTATTTAAATTTTTTGAAATGGATATGGGGTTGACAATAAGAAATTAGAGCAAAAACTAAAAAGTCTAAGAGAAATCTATCTTCATATTGTTTCTCCAAATTTTCACTTAAATAATCAAAACCAGCCAGGTGTGGTGCCAAACCCTTGCAATCCCAGCACTTGGGAAGCTGAGGCAGAAGGTTCACTAGAAGTTCAAGGCCAGCCTAGGCTACCTGGTGAGTTCAAGGACAGTCCGGTCTACATAATGAGACTGTCTCAAAAAAAAAAAAAAAAAAAAAAAAAAAACATAATAAAACAAAAAAATAATCAAAACTAAAAGTCACACATATCTCATGAGTGGGGTTTAAGCAAGAAAGAAAATGCAAAACTTCACATTCACACACACAGAAAAGGCCGGGGCCCTTTATCCAAAGGCAGTCAAGTGAACACATAGGTTTAAAGCTACAAAAAAACATCTGCTTTTCCTTATTTCCTGCTTCCACCAACATTTCTGATTCACGGTGGCTCAACCACAGCCCCCAGCTGGGTCGCCTAAGGAACCGGCAAGCAGCTTAGGGGACGGCCAGTGGACAGAGATAAACCTGCAGGTCACAACCTTGGCTGATTTCTGCGGTGACTTCTCGGATGGACCTCTGGCATCTGGGGACATGGGGGAGCTCTCGTCTTTTGTGACTTGTGTATCACTTTTTCCTAAATGAGAGAGAGAAAAGAGAAGAGACAAACCAGTTAGAGGCAGACCCCTTAAAGATAGAGACTTTTAACTTCAGCGCCGGGACGGGACAGACTCTTGAATACTTTGAAGCCCTCATTGCCTCCGGGTGGAAGAGGAAAGCCACAGAGGCTGGGGATCTGGCGAGGCCACTCACACCCTGCAGCCATGGGTCTGCACACATTGACCACCCACACCATATCTACCAGCATTATCCACACTCTGAGGTATGCTTAACTGCCCATTTATCAAAATGCCACAAAACCCAGAGTATAAATGCAGACCCAGCCTACGTGAAGAATAGACAGGCAGTTTACTATGCTCATCTGCTGAATAAAACAAAACCTAAATTAATGTTAACTTTTAAAAATACTTTAGTACTAGCCATAACAAACAAAATGGTGGAAAACAAATTTTATTTATTAAAAAAATATTATCCCAATCCTGATTTTCCTGGCTTGTTTTAGTGATAGTATTTAAAGAGTGAAGTACTTTTGAAATGTATTTCAATGTTTAATTTTCTTTGTTGTAAAATTTATAAAGTCCACTTCTACCCTGGAGTCGGAAAGCATACTCCCCAGAAAGAGGCCATCAGGTTCTGCACCAGAACTGTGAGAAACAGCACATCCACACCTCTGAACACCGAAAGTTTTAAATTTTCACTTTTTACACTAGACATCCCCCTGAGATATTCTTATCCAACTCAGTTGGAGATTCTAGACTCTCGAGGTCACTCCAGGAAGCTAAGGGGACCCACACTTCTCACCACTCACTTTTCCACGGCCAACATGAATAAACCCACCCTTTCCCAGATGGCTGCTCTACAGCACAGGGCCAGCTTTGAGCTGGATCCCACAACCCAGCCCATGCTGGAAGCCCGTGCCAGTTGCCTCCTGACTCCAGAGGATTAAGCATGTGCTTTTCCATCTACACCTCACTCTACACTGAAGACCCCACTCAGAGCAGAATCTTCACCATCCTTTTCACCCAAGAAGAAATCCATGCGCACTTTCCCACTGTAGGTGACCTCCCCATCAGTCAAAGAAGGACAATCATCTGAGTTCTTTAGTTAGACCCATAATCCAGGATCTCAAAATCATCAGATGCTTCCAAAATACTTTTTACAACCTTGGGGAAGGAAAAATATACCACATAAGGTGTTGATTTGCTTGTTCCGTTTGTTACTAATGTGTTCTGCAGAATAAGGAAATTCAGAAAAGAATGAAAGAGGAAATTACAAGTACATGCTACTTTGATAGTGATATTTCAGTTTTTTATCTCAAAGAAGCAAGTCATCAAGCCGAGGAGTGAAGGGACAGGTTTTTCCATGGCAACGCAAGCAAACAGTTTCTCTGGGATGGTCATTGGTGACTCCATCTTAAACTGACTATGACTTCAGGTTCCAGTCCAACAAGACAGTCTTCTGTTGCAAAGGTTACGCCAGGTCACTTAGGAACAGAGAGGGCAGTGATGGAAGTGGGCCCACGCATGACTCCAGATATCGCACCTGAGTATAATCTTTCCAGGTTCTATGTTTCTACAGTTATCCTGGCAAAAGTAAGGCTTTGTTCAAAGTTACAGTGCAATAAATTAAACTGAAGTTTATAGGCACGCAAGTGAGGATCCACAGATGGTCAATGAATGTAAAGAAATGCAGTGCCAAGCCGGAAAGGTGAATCACCTTAGCATGTTTCCAACAACTATGTATTGCCACACTGAAAATCAAGCTGCTGATTTAATGAGAACCTGCATTGTTTAATCACAGATCATTTACTTATTCATTTATTCCATGTGCACTTATTGAGCACTGGTGTTGAAGATTCAGTTGTAACTGGAAGAAACATGATCCTGGCCCTCAAGAAACATACAAGCTAATGTGGAAGTGATATCTGTAAGTAATCACTCGATAAATATAAAATTCCAAGTTGCAGTGAATGCTAAGGAAGAAACATCCTAAGGACAGACAAAGGACACTGGTTTAGATTAGAGGTGAGGAAGGGTCACTGAGGCTGAGGCAGGAGGATGCTCTACGAATGAGTGGCATGGGATGGGGGAGAGGGCTCTTTGCACAATCAACTCCAGACAGAGACCACGAGACCAAAGTAAGCAAGGGTAAGCAGTGCAAGAGACCAGAGGCATAGAGATCAAGGCAACTGGGACTCTGCAGGACACAAGAATCCAGAATCCAAGCCTAAATCCCAGGGAAAGCTGGCTTTGTGCACAGAGACACAGCCCATGGCAGAAGCACAGCAGGCAGAGCCAGGGACACAAGTGCTGGGGATGAATGAAGGTGCTTTCTGCAGGGGGTCCTGCTAGATGGGCGCTGACTGGATTGAAAGCTGGAGGTAGGAGACCCAGAGGATTTTAGACAGGACAAATGGGGGGTTATTTCCAGCTCCATGACCCCTGCAGCTAGACTAAGGAAAGTGATAATCAGTAGTGCTCCACTGCAGAGGTGGCTACGCATGAAAGCTGAGCAGAACCTGAGGGATGATGCTGTGTAAGGAGTGTGACACAATGGTCTGGGGTCAGCACGAAGACCTGCGGTAGCTGTGAACAGGACTTGCATGCTGCTCAGGCTTCCGCGTGGACCCTAGAGCCCTGGAGCCAGGTCTGCTTGGCTATGAATCCACAGTGCTTTGACTGCTCCATGCTGCCAAGGAAGCAGCACAGTGCTGGCCTGCTCAGGAGGAGGGAGAGGCCTCTGAGGACACGACAGGGGCTGGAAGAACGCACAGATGCTTCCAACAGAAATAAGGGAGCCCAAAGGACTCAGCCCAGAACTTGTGAGCACCCAAGCACTGGGAGAGGGGCTGGCATGGAAAGGCCCTAGGAAGGGATTTGCTGTAGCCCCCCTCGGGTGGAATCCCAGTGCGCTAGGCGGGAGGGACTGGGCATAACTGTGACAGGCCTTGGTAAGGGACACAGCTTACCCAGGCATCTAGTCTCTACTGCCTAGTAATAAGAACCTCAATTTGTAGAGAGGCAACTTGTAACTACACATGGTTGACATGTGTCAGTTTTAGCCAGTAAGAGTCAGGGGAAAGTGCTGCTAGTGACTTCTAAGGAGTATCCTCAAGGGCACACACCCACCCAGGCCAGGCATAGTGGCACACATCTGTAACCCCAGCCCTGGGGAGACAGGGAGAAGGACTACACATTCAAGCCAATTCTCAGCACTCACAGAGTCCCTGTCTCAAAGCTCAGCAGCATAAGCGCCTGCTTTGCACACTCACGGTCATGAGTTTGATCCCTGGTAGCAAAAAATTTTAAAAAATGAAAACTTTGGAGAGAGCGGGAGATGCAGCACAGTGGCAGAGCACCTCTGGGTTCAATCTCTGGTCTCCAGTACCAAAGAAGCAAACAAACTCACTGAGACTCACTTCTTCCTCTCCACTGGCTAGAATACAGATGTGACACCTGGTTCTCAAGCACCCAACTTGGCTGATGAGGCCACTGCACAAGAGTGCTCTCTACCCAGAGAGTAGCATGGCAGAAGAGCTGAACATGCGGAGCTCCAGACAAGCTCTGGCCTGCCCACCTGCTGTCTGCTTTTGTGTGAGGGAAGAAAACCTCTTTCTTCAAAGCCACTGATACCTTAGGATTTAATGCTATTCTCGGCAGAACATACTTCCTAACACATAGGTCCAGACAAGGAGACTGACAAGCTCGGGCACTACCCCACAAAGCACTCTGAAAGCCAGGCAGTTCTGCTCTCACCAGCTACACATCACATATGTATTTTAGGGCTATGCATTTAGTAGTATTGGAGTGTAGAGAAACAATAGGAGCAGAAGTCTCAGAGCTGGGTTGCAGTGTAGGTGATACAAGCAGGACCTGAACAGAAAGAGTGGCCACGGGCTGGGGTGGCAGGTCATAGGACCCATCCCAGCACTGCAGGGACTGGGACGCACTGACCAGCGAGGCCATGACCAGGAACACAGGCCAGACTTGTGCATGCTTCTGAGGATTGTGCCGCCAAGGTCTTCCTCATTGCTATCAATGAATCAGCATAAAATATGCTTAAATTAAATGAGTTTTTGGTGGACTTGGGAACAGTGGCTTGATAGAACAGCAAAACCCAGAATGAACTACAAAATGGGGTGGAGTGACACGGAAAAGGACAGAGCTACCAAACTCTGTTGTCCTTTCTAGTGGAAATAATTCTGTAAGTTTATAACCACCAAAATTCTTCATTTAGGAAACAATATTCTAAAAAACAGATACACTACTAATATAAGCAACTAACTAGGAAAACTTGTCCTATGGACCCTCTTCCCAGTGAGATGCCTGGGAAAGATCTGGCAAGACACGTCCTCAAGGGGCCAGGCCACGGTCCCTGTGAATAATCACGTGAGGCGTGAGCCTTGCTGATCGTGCCAGGACACCCAGTCAGCCCCTGCAGGGCCCGGGGACAGCAGGGACAGTCTCCAAGGCACCAACGAGTTCTCTTTACAAAGTCTCCAGGCCGGGAAGTTATCACCTGAAATAAGGTAATGGGAGTTTTTACCGCACGTTCACCTACATCTCCTCGTTGGAGTCACTCAACTTCACGTCACAGGCACCGCGGCGCTGTAATTCCAGTTTCACCAAGGAAACAGGGAATGGAAAGGCAGAACAGGAGGGGTCAGCATGCAGCGATGCTTACTGCCCTGTGACCATGTTTTCCACACAACAAGAATTAAGCAGGTGGAAGGGCCAAGAAAGCCTGTGTCCGAGAATTGGAGAAGCAGCCATAGGACTCCCTAAAATGTTCTGCCAGTAAAGGCCCTGCTTTCCCACGGAAAGCCAGGCACTGCAAATGGCCCTGTCCCCTTGGGAGTGCTTCTGCTAGAAAGGAAACCAAGATGCAGCAAACGTCAGGTGCTGGGAGTGCTGGCAAGTGGTGTCCAGGGTGAGAGGACAGGAACCAAACCTTGAGCTCAGAAGGTGAGGCTGAGCAGTCACTGGCCGGGGGCGTGGCCTATGAGAGGGGAGGGAG